TACAATTCTTTTATCTCGACTCGTCATAACAGCATAACTGCCATGCATTACTGGGTCATTTAGTGGTGTTTTTCAATATTACACCATTTCATTGCTTTAATGATTATAAGAGAATATCACTGTTATTGGATTCAAAGTAAGCATGGCAACAAATATTGTAAATTACTTTAAATTATCCCATATCTAGATTTTTTTTTTTGTTTTTTGTTTTTTGTTTTTGTTTTTTTTTTACTGAATTTACCATCGTGCTTTCTATACAATGTAATGTAAACGACCTAAGTGCGTTCCCCACCCACTGTATCCACGTTGACGCTTTGTCACGGTACGTATTGTACTCCCGTGTCAGCAGGTATACTCGGGAGTCAACATCTCAGGCCTCACACTAACTAGTAATTCATCGTCACATACTCTACATTATAGAAATAGCTGAGTACATTTGATCAGATCAGATCTGACGTGGTTATTTTGAATGTTATAGAGTGCAAGTTATAATTTGCACTCTTTTCTATAACCATCTATTCTGTTTGAATGCCTATATATCTCTTTAAATAAGTATATTCTTTTATACGTTATTCACTTTTTTTCAAATTAGCAACAGATGGAAATCAATTAAAATAAATATAAATAAACAAATGAATAAATGAATGAATGAATGAATGAATGAATGAATGAATGAATGAATGAATGAATGAATGAATGAATGAATGGAAATAGGATATAGCCACAGCTATTGGAAATTGTATTGAATTTTAAATGACTACGTTATCTGTTATTACTTAGCATGACGAATCGCTGAAAACTTTTCAGAAAAACAAAATACTGGACACCTGGAAGGTTCCGGTGACTGGTGTTATATGCTAACGAACAAGGCATGTGTTGTTTGTGCAGGAGATAAGTCTAACTGTCAGTAAACCGAACCTGCTGAGACGGACATGCACGTGAGCTAGGATGTCGAAACTGATACAACCACGTGTAAAACATGATATGTCAGATGTATGCTGATGTTGCATGGATGAATGGGCATGTGTGGTGTGTCTGTCACTTCGTCTGAGAGCGCGGACGTGCGCGTTCATCTGATACCAAATTATAGCTTAGATATAATTGTGCATCGCGCCTGTCCGGTAATTATCACACGTACAGCTGGGAGAAATCTTTTAAAAGCATGTAAATGTATAAAAAAAATTCTCAGATAAAGAAGTTTACACCTCGAACTATGTGAAATATTCTTACCTATCAAAAATGATGTAAGAACTGCATTTGTTTTGAAGATGGTTTACTCTACAGAAAATACCTTGATACGTCGGGAATATGGTGAGATCATGTCTTATTTTTTTTCTTTTGTTCGCGTAATTTTTATCAAGTATGAACTATCTTGATAACAATATCATAATTTCATGAGAATAACAAGTTACTAACATTATCATTAGTTGTTTACCAAACCTCATCTAAAACATCTGGATATTTCACTGTTAGATATTTTTTTGAATTGTTGAAAAAACAGGTTGCCTAGAAACAAAATAAAGTTTGTCCTAAAACAAGAATCAAGAAATATAGATATATATTGTGAAATGAATCCATAACTCATCTTAACGAACATCAATCAACCAACAATCAAGATCGGCATTGCAAGAGATATGTCATCATTCGTCACAGCCAAGGTGTGCTTAGACCTTTCTAGACGCTTTAAGAATAGCTACTAAGCTTTTCATTCAACATAGGTAAAAGCGACATTATTCTATTGAAATATTTTCATTACAAAAGGGATCGTATTTTTTAAATGTTTATGTAGGTATACTTTTCTAAAATAATAGTAATTAGGATAAACGAAAAAACCCTAAATTGCAATATCTTTTCAGGTTCCATTCTAGCTGCAGTGTTCAATCATAACAATCTATAGATAGACTGGGGGATACATTCCACAAAGATGTACCAGCAGAATGACGACTACCACTTGTCGGAGTCCAAACCTGTCGACATGCTATTTATCCTTTTCATCTTAGAGCACGTCAACGGCCATCAGACAACATGTACACGTGTTTGTTCTCTGGGTTGTATTAATAGAACAGGGGCCATGTCGATAGGTATCTATGACGGAAACAAATTCGTTCTGGAGTGGAATAAGTTCATACTGTCATGTGCTCTACAGGTAAGCAAGGTATGTTTAGAAGGTCCCTAACCAAGGGTAAGGTGAATTAGTTGCTGCTTTTTCTGTGCCTTGAAACAAGGCGAATTAGTTCCTATTTTCTCTGTACCTGGAGACAAGGTGAATTAGTTCCTATTTTCTCTGTGCCTAGAGACAAGGCGAATTTGTTCCAATTTTCTCTGTGCCGAAAGACAAGGTGATTTTTTTTTAGAAAATAGGCAAACTATACAAAGTTCGCTCCACAGCTGGAGACAGGGAGAATTCTCTATATCTAGAGACGAAGTGAACCTTTTCATATTTGAAATTATACAGAAACAAGATTATTTGTTTTAGAATATAATGTATACCTGGAATTAGGGTAAGATTTGCTCTAAATGTCTGTTCTCTATGCCCAGAGACATGGTAAAATATTTCCTATTTTCTCTGCGCCTAGAGACAAGATGAATTATTTCCTAATATGTGTGCCAAAAGACATGGTGATTTTTCCCTATTTTCTCTGTAAATCTATCTTTTTGTTAAGGCTGGAGTAATCTTGAAAACAACTCGCCTATTTCAAACATACACTTAAACTATTGTACACACAGAGAATAATAAACGATAATTTCAGTGAAAACTGTATTACTTTGAAACAAACTTTTGTTGTTAAAGGATAAATTGTCATTTGACCTGAGTATATCCTTAACAAGCCATATAAGGAAAAATGCTGTCATTTTATAATTATAAAGGAATTTCAGTAACCAGATGCTACAGGGAAGTGTCTAACACTGTTGTTTACATTATCACAAGGGTCATTGGGTACACTATGTAAAACTGTTTACATGGAAGTACTTACGGTCTAGTTGACCTATTCAGATAGACAAAAGTGGACCAAAGCTCACCTGTCAACAGCAATCCTGACCTCCAGTATCCTGCCGGTTTTACCAACATGTACTTAAAACTCTTTCATGTAGTACGGAAGTGTAAATATCTTGTAAGTTTTTTATATGGTAGATATCGATACTGTCATATGGATGTGAATAATTTGTTTTAAACGCTTTAAAAACACCATAATACATGAAAAACACCGCGAATAGCAGAAAAACTGCATACATTATCAAATTTCTTATTTTTGCAATGTTGCTATGCTTCTCTTGATTCTGCAAGTCCATAATGAATATCAAGGATCAAACACGAGACAAGAATGGCTGTCCCAGTGTTCAAGTGGTAGAGACAATATAATTCCTTCCATGACCGAGGGTGAAGAGTGTCCTAAAGTATTCTATAAAAGCCAAAACAAGCGAAACTACTACCCCATCCCCAACCTAACACCCCCACCCCCACCCTAATACCCCTCTAACACCTCCACCCCAAACCTAACATTCCCACCCCAACCTAAAACCCCACCGCCATCCTAATACCCCACCCCCAACCCTAACACCTTCACCCCCACCCTAACACACCTATCCCCACCAAAACACCCCTACCCCTTCCCAAACACCCCCTCCCCACCCTAATAACCCACCCCCACCTAACACCCCCGCCCCACCCTTATACCCCACCCCCACCCTAACACCTCCATCCCCCCCATAACACCCCCACCCCCACCATAATACCCCACCCCCACCCTAACATCTCCACCCCATCCTAACACCCCTACCCTCGCCAAAACACCCCTACCCCACTCTAATACCCCACCCCCACCATAACACCTCCACCCCCAACCTAACACCCCCCACCCTAACACCCCTAACCCCACCCAAACACCCCTATCCCCACCCTAACACCCCATCCCCATTGCCTGTCACCACAAGGCCCGAGAACATATGATATAAGGCTGTTAGAGCTAGAAGGTAATCGCTACTTGGTACAACTAAAGTCCTGATTGGCATTAAAATTTTGAAACCAAGTGGTTGGTGTTTGTATAACGTAACTGTAGCATTGTTAATGTTAATTTTCAAGACTAGTTCCTGCAATTGTAGATACAAAGATACAGCGGCATTCATAAACAATATAAAGCTACACTACAATACTGACATGTTAAAATAATCGTCATTTTAACTCGACGTCGATTAAACGAGGGCAGAGTTTTATCAGAAGAAAAATTTACACGGTTAAAATTGTTCTCGAAGGTTAGTATTGCGTTCTCAAAGGAACACAAATACCAACAACAACGAGGCTAGCAGGTATACATACAAAACAAGTAACGAACACCCTAAATTCAAATAACAAAAAAAAAAAAAAAAAAAACAGAAATACATTTCTGTTGTGGATTTGATTAAACCAGTAAATTCTTAAATCATAATGCATATCCTTATTGATTGAGTTAGTGAATGCTATCGATATTTCTAATTAATTACATCTTTGTGACGTCATACTGTTTAGATGTAAAGGAGTCAGGTATCATGTTATTACACATAAATATATCAATTTTACCATTTAATATCGGTTGCATCATACTGACTATGATGTAGTGAAAAAAACTGTTTTCCATTACGCGGTGTTCGATAGTACAAGGTTTTTTATTATCATAAATTTACTGTGGTCCATGTGCTCTGTATCACATGGCCTTCTGACGTCAAAACTCAGCATATGTACACGTATGTGGTAAATTACATTACATCTCCCTTTGCTTAATCAAAGAAGATTTAAAGGATATTGTTGCTGAAACTTGAAATAAAAACTTTGAAGTTTCTTTTTTTTTTTTCAGTCCTTCTTTAGTACAGTCTTGTTATTAGAATTAATACGAACAGAAAGAAACAACACTTTCAAAATTATCATTAGCACTGTCCTCGCGCTGTAACTGGATACAAAATAAATTTCACAATAGAAACTTTAACAGTTCATAGAATGGTTAATTCCACAGGGAATTGTTAACACATCACAAGTCCAATTTCACAGGCGGTTTGATCCTTCTTCCTGACCTCGTGACAGGTATATCGACTACACTCGGTTCGCTTTTAGGTATAACAGAATGTTTTTGCGGCGAAGCGACAGTCAGTTCGGAGGGTGGCAAGTTTGATTGTTTGCTTTGAGTGGAAGTGTCCAAGTTCATAAAGTCATGATCATTTTCCTCGGTAATGTTGTATCGTAGCGACTCATTTGCATGATCGGTAGACCGTCTCAAGTGTTTACGATTTCTACGGTACAGTTGATCATTAGATTTCACTATGTATGATCTCGGACGCACAGAATGTTCTATAACAGTTGCAGGCTTCCATAGTTTTGTTCCAGGTAACGGAGCCATTCGCACTTGTTCTTGTTTTACCAAGGGAGACAACTCTTTGACTTTGTTGTGCAAATTATAATAAAGTTTTTGCTTTTGTTTCGCTTCCGTGAAGTGACGTTTTATTTCGCGGCGATTGTTCATAGACGGTTCAAGGATCTCGCGTTTAGCAGGTAATTTATTTCTCGGTCTCCTGCCCATGAGTATCTGTGACGGTGATAGATTTATTCCATTAAGTGGTGTGGTTCTATAGTCCAGAAGCGCTAGATAACGATCATCAGCTTTACGCCAGATGCGCTTCACTGTCTGTATAGCACGTTCAACCTCACCATTTGAACTCTGAAAATGGGGACTGGATGTTATGTGTTCGATTCCATAGTCAGCACAGAATGTTTTGAAGTCAGCTGATGTGAAGTTTGGGCCGTTGTCTGAACGAAGTAATTTCGGGATACCGTGGCACGCAAACACTCGTTTCATAGCACGAATTGTAGCAGAGGCAGTCGCGTCGGGTAATTCCTCGACGTCGACGTACTTTGAATAATAATCCACTAGAATGATATAGTTCTTTCCTTCAAAGTGGAATAAATCACTCCCAACTTCACTGTATGGTAGATCAGGTGTAACGGACGGTCTCAGAGGTTCTGCGGGTTGTTTATTTTGAATCTCAGCACACTTTCCACAGTTCTGAATCATCACCTCGATTTCAGCACTCATACCCGGCCAGTACATGACTTCTCTTGCACGCTGTTTACACTTAACGATCCCAAGATGCGATTCGTGAATTAGATCGAGCATGTACGAACGCAAACTAGGTGGAATAACAATCCTCATTCCTTTGAAGATAATTCCATCAGATATTGACAGTTGAT